ATATATATATATATAATGCAGATTTTGTGTCTTAATTTATTTTTTTTGAAACTGGTCCATGACATTGCACAGTACCTTGAAAGTCCAGTTAACCGAAATACAATTTGTATAGTTTAATTCTAATTTATTGTGGCCAGAACATGTTAAAAGGCACTTTAAGTAGGTGTCATGGTTAGTTATGCGTCATGAGTTAGCAAAAACTAAAGTGAGCAGTAGTTTGAAAAAGACTTGAATCTTTTAAATTAAATTTTGTTGCGTTCTTTGTACCTGCATTACAGCCTGGGTTCACGCTTGCAGTGCCGCAATGCGATTGGCTATCAAAGTTGTCTATAATATGTCGGGACAGCTGATTGGCCAAACTGAGGGAAAAAGAGGCGGGGCTATTCTTGCGGGTCATGGAGGATAAGGAGCTCGTGCGCGTCCAATTGTGTGTGGCGCCTGTAGAGAGAGGCGGAGGGAGCGCTTTACTGCAGTGTCACTATATTTCTGCACCACTCATCAAAACTCTGCGGCAAGCAGACCAGAGCTTTTGGGGCACTTATTTCGGGTGCTAATAATTCCTCCAATATATAAACAGACCGCGTAGTCTTATATTTCTACGTTAATTTAGATCTTTTTTCGCGCGTGCTAAGTGGTCGAGTAAGCTAGTTTCTTAAAATCGCCGGCGACAGAACAGAGTCTGGGCAATTGTTACAGCCTATTTGAAAGGGTTTTAAGGCTGACACATAAATTCAGGACACCATGGCAAAGGATGGAGACAAAAGCGAGTGGAAAGAGTACGTGTGGAACCCCAGAACCAGGGAGTTTCTGGGCAGAACTGCGAGCAGCTGGGGTGAGTACCGAGCAGCTACAGCAATGCAGCAAACATGTTCCCCCGGCTCTAACAGGTCGCTGCCACGGAGGGTTCAACCTTTATTACAATAAAATAAAATAAAAAAGATGTTCTGAGTGAAGTGACTCGTCTGTCGCTGTCCAGCACAGACAGACAGGCAGGCAGGCGGAGAGAGCGTGGTGCTGAAATCTGACTGCGGCACCGCTTCCTGCAGGAACCGGTGTCGTGCCACATTTGGTATCCCCGAAATAATCTGACACCAGCATATTTTGCCCCTGTCTGTCAGAAATCCTTAACCCTGATCCTTCCCCTTGTGCTTTGTACACATTTATTTATTCTTACTGTCCACTCGGCTTGAATACAAGTACCACAAATATATATATATATATATATTTTATTTATTTATTTTTGATTATATCTTTGTAAAAGTTGTGCTTGAATCAGTTTGCATGCATGCAGTTTTTGTCAAAGTGTGCTCTCAACATGATGTCACCCCACCCCCCCCTCCACCCCCAGCACCATCATCATCTCTTTTCCCCCCCTGGAGGCTGTGAGGGAATATTCAGTTCCAACCACCTTTCATGCCACAGAGAGCGCCTGAAAGATTCATGAGCCAACGGGGCGCATATGGCTCTGTTCTAATGAACACTGGAGCATTTTAATCTGGGTAAAGCCCAAGGCCAAATGCTATTTGTATCACCCTCAACCCGGCCCCTCCCAGCGCCTGTGAATGAGTGAGGGATTTAATCCTAATCTAATGATTTCATTGGCTGTAGAGGACAATATCAATTCAGGACATTCTGGGAAAAGGAAAAGACTTCAGAGAACTTTCTTTTTATTCCGTTAACTGGAGACCTGTTCGCTTCAACACTCTGTTGGAGTACTGAAAGTTGTTTGCACTTATGTTTTATCAAATGACACCTCTACACAATAACAGAAGAGTTTAAAATAATTGATTCTTGCTGGAATCCCTTCAGCGTTCAAATTTAATCCAGCTCTGTGCGTCCCAGGTGCTCAAAGGTCTGGTGGCCTTTTTAATCTGTGCTCTCGGAGCCTCGTTAACGAGACTATTTCTGTTGTAGGTTACCACACAGGACTGCTAAACTTGGCATTTCACTCATAGGCTCAACTTTAACAACCAAGAGCAGCTGGTAGAAATCACTTTTTTATGAAAAGATTAATTCAAATTGTCCTTTTTTAAAAGATTTGACTGAGCTTGCCGTCCTCTCACACGGATGAATGGTGGTTCAAAGCACTGGATCAAAGGCTACTTTGAGGATGAAACACAGCACGAGTCTTTGCGTGTTCTGCTTTGTGTAAAGAGCGGTAATGAAATTTAAAATAAAGGAGAGGTTTGAAGCTGAACGCTGCCATCTGATGGAGCATGGACTTGAAACAGGGCTGATTAGATTTTCTGCTCGCGGGGCTTTCAGAAACGAAACAAAGAAAAGTACACAGAAAAATAGGACTATATATCTCCTCACTGTGTCAGCACTTACAGTAACAATCCATACTGTAAACGGAGTGATGCAAACTTTTATTTTCAGTTCAGACTGGTCATTAGCTAATCAGGATGCCAACCTCTTTCCATTACTGCCGAAGAAAGAACAGGATGCCGAGCCATCCTAAGCTGTGTTTGGCTAATAAAACTGGGCTGAAAGGGAGATGCTTCACTCTCCATCATCAGTAAACCTAACACCCTTTTTGTTTCTGGGGATAAAGCCACCCGCTCTGTCTCCCCCATGTGGTGTCATGTTCCCAGTTAGTACAGCCTCTCCCCCGACTGTCAACGGAAAATGTTTCAGCACTTTGTTTGGTCTCGTTTCCGTTCTCTTGCTGCTCTGTGGTTCTGATGCTGCGTGCATATTTCAAAACGCACTCACTTACACTTAGCTGCTTCATTTTGACTCACAATGGGACATGCAAGCTATAAATCCTTAAGACGCCCAGTTATGTTCGGTCCTCTTTTTTTTTTTTAGATTGGTTTCTCCCGAACATCTCGCTGTGGATTACTGCCTGTGTTGCTGTGTGAGGAGGCAGATGTGACGCTGCTGCTGAGGGAGCGCCTTGCTCAGGGGCCTTCCAGCAGATATACAGGGTCAGGGCGCTCAGCTGCGTCGCAGCGCTGGCCTCAGGTGTTGATGCGTCACTGGAAATTCTATTTCTGTCCTCTTTAAAGCAGCTGCTCAAAAGTATGTGATGCTTCCAAGTACAAAATGTCTCATCGTTGGATTATTGATAGATTCCCCTTGATGACGGAGGAAAATGATGATTTGCAGTCTTCCTTTCTGTACTATGAAAACCATCTAAGTATTTGACCAGTTCTCCCAGGGTTTCCTCACATTCTTCTCCCTAAATATCACCACATTTATCGTTCTTATCCCTCTGATAGCTGGGAACCTTTATTTCAGATGTCAGATTTTTAGGTATTTGTCATCTACATGTTAGACATGGAAGAATATAATGTGTCTCCCTGGCTAGCTTAAAATAAACAACCTGAGCACCTAAAGTCCTGCAGTACACTAAGTCCAGAGGGCAGCTTATGGTACTGAGTTCATAAGCTTCACAGCTTCATGGAAGAAGCTGTTCCTCAGCCTGGATGTCCAGGCTTTGAGGCTGCACCACCTTCTGCCAGAGGGAAGGAGAGTGAATATCCACTTTTATGTCCTTTGCTCTGCTTCTGCATTTGCTATGGAAATGTTCTCTGGTGCAGCGATTCCAAAATGTTCAGGTTCTGACCCACAAAATAACACAAGTGAAGACTTGTGACTGCAGCTACTAATAGGAACTGAAACAAAAAGTATTTTTGATCATTGTTTAACTGCGTTTTCAGGGTAGCCAGTGCCTCGGTTTTGTAATCCTGAGGCTGTGGGTTCCAGGTTGCATCAAAAAAGGCATCCGGCGAAAAACAAACGCCAAATCTTTCACGCAAGTTTCATTCACTGTGGTGACCCCTGAAGAAGGGAGCAACTGAAAGAAAAACATGACTGCCGTTTTTATATTTTAAAACAATTGTGACAACAAAAACTTATATTAGCAATCATTAATATTTGACTTGATTTCTGGAAATCATCTTAAGATGCCGCACTTGTTGTTTCCCAGCCCACAGTGGGAGTGAGTGCGTTTTAACTTCTTTGTGGCTCATGTGAGGTCATCAGACATGTGCAGACCTGAATATTTGGCTCTTTCTCCTCCATTGATGAGGGTGGAGGAGGAGTGTAAGCTCTCCTGAAGTCCACAATCATCTCTTTTAACTTTGCCACAGTGATGCTCTAGTCATTCACCGTACACCAATCAGCAGACTCCTCTGCTTCCTTCCTATCCGTAGACTCATGATCACTCATCGTTGTTGAAAATCAATGTAATGACTGAAGTTTCATCTACCATCTTCACATGATTTTATATATATATATATATATATATATATATATATATATATATATATATGTACAGTATATTTATATCTATATGTCCAAGAATGTATAAGGAATGTAGGTATGAAACCACAGTTTATAATTTTCCCATTTAATTGACAAAATTATTTTATTTTAAAGCTGTATTCTGCAACGGAATAAATATTTAGCACCACAGTGAGTTATTGATGTAATAAAAAAAGCAAACAGTCCAGGTTATTGAAGAGTTCTTGTTCAAACATTAATGTTACAAACACAATATTTACATTTAATAAGCCCAAATCAATTTCATTAGCAGTTTGGATGTAGGATCGTTCATTATAAAACATGTCGGCATAATTCTGACTTAAACTAGATATTTTGAAAGCCTTTGACTCAATCACTCAACATTTTGAAAATGTGAATCTTTACAAAAAATAAACAAACAAGATTTCTTTTGCATGATAATAAATTAAGGCTCTGCTTACTGATGCCTGTAGATGAATACTTGTAGGTTTAGTTTGGAGTGAAATAGAAAGATTTATCAAATATATAATTAATCAGAAGTTTGTCAGATAAATAATTCTCCCAGTTCTTTATGGATACTCACTGGTTGTTTAGATAACAACCCAGTAGATTTAGTCCTAATCTTTGAAACAGTTATGTCTTGGTGTTTTCACTTTTTAAAAATATAACTGTAAATAATTGATTACTTGTGCTTAGTCCATGTTAAGACGCAGTAAATCTCTGTTTGAGTCGACGTTTGGTGAGAGTAAAGAGCTTGTGAATGTACTGGATTCATTCGTTCTGTTTTTATGTTGTCCTGCAGTAATAACACACCTCTGCCTTCTGTTTGTGTGCAGGTCTCATTTTCCTATTCTATTTAGTTTTCTACCTCTTCCTGGGCGGCATGTTTGCTCTCACTATGTACATCATGCTGCAGACACTCGATGACCACAAACCGACCTGGCAAGACAGACTCTCCACACCAGGTGCATAAGATTTAAGCCGAGTGAATAGGCCTGTCGCAATAAACAATAAATCATTTAATCGCATGATAAATGAAAATTATCGACCTCATTTTCATTTATCATTTCTTCGTGTCTCTCTTTCTACTGAAGACACTGGATGACAAAAAGCTCAACTATGGTGTTCTTCACTGACCCCTCCCTTTCTTTTTTCTTTTTAAAATCTGTTTTAACCGTCCAAAATCACATTTTTGGATCATTAAAAGCAGCTAAGCTGAGAAGCTAAGCTATGAGCTAAGCTAACAGGCCGACCTCGGGGAAAAAAACACCGTCTTGTCGAAGCTCCAAAATTCCCGGTTGAAACCCGTGCCTTCGTGTAAAAAGTTGTTTTTCTCTGCAAAAAGAAGCTGACAACTTGTTTACCGATTTTTTTATTAAAAGCTTTGTGTGAAAAATGCTATGCTAAAGAGCTCAAATCAAACCGAGCGTCCGCCATTTTGAGAACTGACAAAAAGGAAAGAGAGACAGCCCATGTCATGTCAAGGGGCCTCCCTCCCATTTTTCTTAAAGAGACACACTGCTCGTTCCCTCACTATCCATCCTTTGGTTCAGACAGTCTTATACTGCCATCCGGTGGTTGAAAAAAGACACTACACGCAAAACAAATTAACCAACATTTCTTCTTAAATTTGAGAATAATTACTAATTATTCTCAAATTTCAAACAATATTATCGTTTATCGTAATAATTTCTGAGACATTCACCCAGCAAAATGTGTTATCGTGACAGGCCTACGAGTGAGCACCTGTATCACTCTGTATCAACATTTTCTGACCGTCTTGCTGTCTCTCACAGGTCTAGTGATCAGACCCCATGCGAGTGAAACTTTTGAGATTGTCTACACAATCCAGAACACCGAGAGCTGGGACATGTACGCTCAGGCGCTGGACAAGTTCCTGTCACGTAAGTCTGGCTCTCAGGCTCCGAGGGCTCACTGCTGTGGATTATCCAACAATACAGAATAAATAGTTTTTACCTTTTAACAGTGAGTGGGAGGTTGCCTTGCAGCAGGGTTTTAGTTGAGTCATAAGCCTTTGCAAACTAAGTAACCCCCACCCGCGCGCTGGCCTCCTCTTCCCTGCAGCCTACAACGACACCGTCCAGGCCCAGAAGAATAACGAGTGCACCCCTGGCCAGTACTTTCTGCAGGAGGACAGCGGCGATGTGAAGAACAACCCGAAGCGCTCCTGTCAGTTCAACCGCACCATTCTCGACGTGTGCTCTGGACTTGAGGACCGTTACTATGGATACCAGGATGGAAAGCCATGCATCATCATCAAGCTGAATCGGGTATGAAAGGAAAAGAGGGAAGGGAGAGGGATGCTGTTGCTAGGAGACATGGAGAGACTGAGAAAATAAAAGTGGTTAGGGTTGAGGAAGATATTTGTGTGAAGATCACAGCTGCAGGTTATCACACTCATCAGTGGCATCTGGTAAACACGGTCGCAGTGTAAAAGACTGCTTTTGTTTCTCTTTATTAAAAAAGTGAACATTGTTTCTTTGTCACCAGGTGATTGGGTTAAAGCCGGGACAAAATGGACAGGCTCCATCTATCACCTGTGGCGCGAAGGTAATCCCTCTGTCTGTCACAACGAACACTGAAGTTAGCTAGCTGTTGTGCCTCTATCTCAACTACGGTGTTCCACTCATTGTTCTCCTCCATTTTCTCTTAAAGTAATAGTTCAGATCGTTTGAAGTATGCGTTTGAGGAAAGGTTGTCAACAATTACTATCTTACCTGCCGTTCAGTTTGACGTAGTTTAATTGTGACCTGACTCACGAGCTAACGCTAGTCTCAGCAGGGCCAAACCAAAAGTGGATTGACTATTTGTTCTTGGTACTGCTCCGTAACGCCAATGACAAAAGTCTGATAGCCGTTTGTGGCAACACAGTTTTATACACCTAGCTGTCAACAGTCGCATTATAAGTTTATTTTGATGGAAACTAGGGATGCACGATATTATAGGCTTGATATCGGTATCGGCCGATATTAGTGTTAAAGCTAAATATCGGCCATTCCATCAAAATAATCACAGATATAAAAGGTGCTGTTTTTGTATGACAACCCAGTGACAAGGATGTCTGCAGCGGCAGCACAACCTGATGACGTCAAGCACCTACCTGATCTCACGGCGGAGAGGAAGAAGTCAAAATGTCTGCCGTGTGGAAGTTTTTTTCATTGAGGATATCGAAGATTTATGGACTACGTTGAGCCTCGCTACATCGTCCCCAGTTTGAGATATTTTTTCCGACGTAGCCTTACCCGCGTTACAAGCCATCAATTTTGACGTCATTGAGAAGCTAATAGCCGATAGCACTTGGGTGAGTTTTACTACAGACTTTTGGATGTCGTGTTAGCCCCGTTAGCATGATTAGTCTTATGGAACAATGGATAGACAAAAACTTTGATCTTAAAAAGTCTGTCCTTCATGCACAAGAGTGCAGAGGATCCCACACTGCAGCTAGGAACCTAGAACAAGCCTCCACAAGTGAGACAGCATCACAGGTGACTAATGCTAATAAATAACATTTAAAACTTTTCATTTAATATAAGTTAAAGTGCTGTACATATAATATGGCTGTTACTGAATATATGTCACCAGCTCTTACAGCTGTTACACAATTTTTGTAGCAAATAAGCCTAAATAAGAGGGATATGTTCTGACAAAGGAAGGTATATAAAATATTGGTATCGGCCAAATGAGTTTTAACATACCGGCATATCGGATATCGGCCAAAAATCCAATATTGCGCATCCCTAATGGAAACAATGTTCCTGATAGTCACGCTGCACCAGTGCTACAGGTATAGTTGCTGATATTTGTGCATCCAGATAACCACAGAATACCATGTAAGTATCCATGTAATGTGAAACTGTAGGAAATGTAAAGAGTAAAAACACAGCAATCAAAAATTAAGATTTGAGCCGTTTTAAACTCTATTTTCTCAAACTGAGGTCGTTCAAAGAGTTACAGTATTTGCGAGATGTTAAGTGTTGAAAACCTTTCCACGGGACCCCACTTCAAAAGAACTGAACTGTCTATGCATTATCTGTATCGTTTCAATCACATTTACAATCCATGTCATTTCTGTCTTCTCTCCATCATGTTGCATTATTATTTTTTTTACCTCTCAGAAATACAAAGTTGGCAAAGATGAGTGGGTAAGAGCAGGTCGGCTCCTGTCTTCTCTAGAGTTTAGTTGATATTTATCGTTAGAAGTGGTCCAGACTGTAGTCACGCCTGCACATGGATGTGGCTGCAGGTAGTATTTTCATCCGCCCGTCGAAGGTGAACGTATTCTCCATCCGTCCCTACGTAATCTTTCTCTTGTCCAGCCCAAAACTTCTGATCCACTCAAGATAATTTAATGAAACTTCAAACACACATGCATTATCACTAGATAGAGTGTGGCATACATTTTTCATCACCCCAGCTTCAAGGTCAATGTCAAATGTTCTACAAACTATTTGCTTGTCTGGACCATTGCTATAGATTACTGTGTAATAGTTTGCTGACGGACGTATAATGTGCCGTATGCAGTACTCTTGTAGTAATCATACTGCTGAAGTAGATGGTGGATTGGTAAACATAAATCAGACAAAAGGAGACTATAACTGATGAAACTGCTTTACTCCCCCAGAGAGATGACTCTGACAAAATTGGGGAGTTGGCCTACTTCCCTCCAAATGGCACTTTCAACCTTATGTACTACCCTTACTACGGCAAGAAAGCTCAGGTGAGTCTTTAGATCGGATCACGATAAAGTGTTAACATTTCCACTAATAATAATAATAATAATAATAATAATAATAAGAGTCCATGACAGATTGCTGATTCTGGGATGTTTCCAGAGTTGAATAGAAGTGCACATTTAAATCTGGTCCTTTGACCTGTTCCTGCAGGTGAACTACTCTCAGCCTCTGGTGGCAATCAAGTTCCTGAACATCACCGTCAACGAGGACGTCAACATCGAGTGCAAGGTCCACGCCAACAACATTCCCATCGGAAGCGAAAGAGACAAGTTTGCTGGGAGGGTGTCGTTCAAGCTGAGGATCAACAGCAACATCTAGTTTGACCCGCCCAACTCTCATCCCGTCCACCATGAAAAGCAACTTTCTTCATTCTCTGCAGCACTGCACACACAGAAAACAAACCACAGCATTCCCACTTTTTTCCAAGTTGTTTACACCCCCTTTAACGTTTATTTTTAGTTTATTTTTTCTTTTAAAGGGGGAGAAAATGGTGCGACAAGATGAGACAAGAATACAAAAAAAAGGTGGTGATGCTGTCAGTATTTCTGTCAGTGGGCAACCAGATGATTTATTTTCTGTAAATTAGTTTGAGGTGACATCTATTTATACTGCATGAAAACCTAAAGGGATATTTAGGGTGTGTTTCCAAAGTTTTAGGGATCAGCGACATTACCGGAGAAATGCTGCTTACCTCCTGCCGCCTCCTTGCAGAGTATCCATCTATATGAAAAAACATACAAATTAAAACTCAAAAATATCTACAGTATTTATTCTAACCTCATATCAGCGAGTCTACTTTGTTGCACTGAAAAGATCCAACCAGCCTGCGTGTGTCTCGGTGGACGGACGCAGAGATGAAGCCATTTGCATGTGTGCCGTCTTTAGTGTGCGCCGCTCAGTTTGAAACGAGGCGATGGGAAATGACCACCAGGAGGTAGGACCGGTGATTAATACAGGGGAGTGCGTGTGTTTGCGTGTTACATTTACAGATTTCATTTCTTACTGTAGGTCGGGAAGTTGCATGCAATGTGCAATACTCATTAAGAGGTAAACGAACGCTTGTGTCCGTTCACTGCTGTTAAATCATTCATTCTGATTTTCTGTTCTGATTAAAACACACAACACTCGTTTAGTTTGTTCATCTAGGCACTAAACTGATATCGATAAAAAGCCATACGTCAGTCATGCTTCGACCTTTTGGAAACGTCTCTTTCGAGTCCAAAAGGCTACTTGAATTAGCTAGCGCTCCTTTTTGTAACCCAATCATGCGTCTGAATGTCAGAAAAGAGTACAAAGTTGAGTTTTTGCTGACGTTTCCTATTCCTGTATGATAAACTTCCTAAAGTTAAACCAAAACTTTTTATTTTGTGTGTATATTTTAATTTAAATATTTAGAGTTTTATTTTTCATTGTGTGTTTTGCATCCGTTTGTACCAGAAATAGGTGCCGTTTTCTTATTTTTGATTGTTTTGATTTGAAGGTGTGCTTTTCTTGTTGATTTTGGTAAAGCTATTTACATTTCTGAGAGGAAGGAGGACGGGTTTTATTTTTTATTTAGTTTTTAATAAGAATTTGTAGTTCTTTTTGAACAAATTATTACTTCATCTGAGTTTTTGATGTGTCTGCTTGTAGAAAATGACAAACTACGGAGATGACCACAAAGAAAATCTTGTTTGTTTATTATTTGTTTGTTTTATCTTTCTGCTTTTGCTTTATTTTCAAAGAAAAACCCATCATGATGAGTTGACGACCAGCATCACCCCCATTCAAATCACTCCTGAGTTTGGTGCTGGACCTACACAGCTAATAATCAAGATACAGGAATGTACTGAAAAGGTTTCATTGGCTTTATTTATTTATTTATTTTTGTTCCAGCTGTGCACTAGAAGGGTTTAGGCATGTTACCTTGACCAATGGTAGATGTTTTGTATATTATTTATGTAGCATTAAAGGTAGATTTTTGCACTCTGTGGTGCAAAAGATGTATCTAAAGGATCAAAAATCAACTTTAGGGTACAAACAATTTAATTTAGGTTGTAAAAATCTAAAGTACACATAAATTTACCATAGGGAGCAAAAATTAATCTTGGTTTACAAAAATTGCTCCTTAAGGTACATAAATATCGTTAGAGTGAAAAAAATCTATCTTGGGTTACAAAGAAATCTACTTTAGTTTGCACAGTTCAGTTGTAGGGTTAAACACAATTGTACCCTGATGCAAAAATCAACTTAAGGGTTCAAAATAGACACGTCAGGGTTTAGCAATTAACCTTAGGTACAAAAAAAAATACTTTATGATGCAAAAACAACATTATATTATAATATATGAACCTCAGGGCGCAAAAGTAATCTAAGCATAGAAAAATGTTGCTTAAAGTACAAAAGTAAACTTTTTAAGAGTACAAAAAATGTACTTTGGCTTACAAAAATCAACATTATGGTGCATAAAATGTGCCTTACAAAAAAATGTACCTTGGGTTACAAAAATCAGCATTATGGTACATAAAATGTGCCTTACAAAAATGTACCTTAAGGTAGATTTTTGCAAACCTAGGCTACAAAAAATATGTATCTCAGAGTGCAAAAATGTGCTTTTAAAGAAAGAAAGAAACATACCGTAGTTCAGTGTTACAGCTGAAGCAATACAGACCTATGTATGTACCTTTATGTACCTTGGTTTTTACCTGTGTAAAGTGGACACTGCTGGGCAGCCTCCTTAAATTGTTTAAAAGAAGTGAAACAGGCCTTTAGATTAATCTAATGGCAGAGCTCTTAAACTCATGAACTGGAAGTGATTCAGTCTGATTTGACGTCTGAATTTGATTGTTCTCGGTGCTAAAACAATAATCTCACTTCAGTCCAAATGAGAACTCGTTATCTGAACCAGATTTGACAGAATGAAGAGCATAACTAAACCTAATTTAGTGATCTGAACTTGATCTAATTTGTACAGAATGCTGCAACAGCCTCTTTGTTTTTAGCTTTTCATGACTCCCCTGACCCGCCCCCATGCATCTCTCCCCTGCAACACTCACTTAATTTCACGGTAATCTCTTAATCTGGTCAGATAATCCAGAGCAGGCACGATGAACTTCTTTACCCTACTTTTGTTGATCCTCCTCCTCCTCTGCACCTCGGTCGCCCGGTTCACGTCTTCAAAATGTCCTCCTGTCTTTATATGTTCTGTCAGTTATTTGAGACCACAAAGCACCTGAGTAAACATTAATCTTCTCAAAGATTCCTTGTTCAGCCAAAGAGGTTGATCATAACTTCAGGTTGTGTGTGTTTGTACCGCACAGAGACGCCATCAGGAGCAGATGTGAGCACGACTATCCAGCTGTAAGGTCGTGTGTTCACATCAGGGTCATGTCTCCACATCTGGACAGTGCCTCCTGGTGGAGTCTCCAGTGTCTCAGAATGTGTCTCCATTTATGTCTTGATTTATCGGGGAATTGTTGAGGTGTTGTCGAAAAGCAATATATTTATTTCCTCTGCAGATGTGCATATTTAGTGGGGAGGTTGTAATAAAATGGGTGCAACGTGTGTCATCGTGAGGTTCAGGCAATATTCAAGCGAAGGCTTTGTTTATAAAAGCGAGAGAATGTATGAGCTCAGGCTGCGTAGATTCAGGAGAGCTACTTCACGAAAACAAATCAAAGCATCTATTTGTTTAGATACACTTTTTAAGTTTAATTATATATATGTATTTGAGCTTTTGAAGCTTGCAATCAAAGTTCCACTAGGACTTAACCCTCAAAGCACTTTCAAAACTAAAAATGTGCACAGTGTCGGAAAGAAAAAAGGCAACGTTTCATGTTTAAATAGTGAATAAAAGCAAGAAGCATCATTGCTTGCACACGTCTTCTTAAAGTTCAACTGCACTGTCGCTAAGGATTGTGGGTAAGGGATTGTTTCAGAGATCAAATTTTGAAACTGGTTATAAATTCTCACCCAAATGGCTGAAAATGTTTTTATTTTTTATCGCTCTGTCCGTATGTATATTTTTGCTCATATTTATTGCAAATGAAAATAGAGAAAATAATAAATGTCATTTAAGGGAATTGATCTTTATGGTGCCTCCTCTGTCATTTCTCGTTTAGTTTCTTTTGAACTAAATCGTCATGAAAGGTTGAGATAAAGTCAGAGCAATTATATGTTTTTCTTGGCAAATGCATGAAGTGACTTCAGACACATTTAATCTGCATCACAGCTCGGTAATCCTCAGCACCGGTGGAGATTAGGGGGAGAGTTTGAAGACGTTTTGCTGTATGGTTTATAAAAAAAAACTTAACAAAAGATTTGACTTGTGACGTGATAACCATCCATCCATCATCTTTCGCTTGTTCTGATGTCGGGTCGTGGGGGCAGCAGCTTGAGCAGGGAGGTCCAGACATCTCTTTCCACAGCCACCCCTTCCAGCTCTTCTGGGAGGACTCCAAGGCGTTCCCAGGCCAGTCGAGAGACATAGTCTTTCCAGCCTGTCCTGGGGCTTCCTCGGGGTCTCCTCCCAGTCGGACATGCTCGTGCCCAGGGAGCATCCTTATCAGATGCCTGAACCACCTCAACTTGCTCCTCGACGTGGAGGAGCAGTGGTTCTACTCCGAGTCTCTCCCTGATAACTGAACTTCTCACCCTGTCTTGTGAACAAGACCCCGAGATATTTGAACTCCACTTGAGGCAGAACATCGACCAGAAGAGAACAATCCAACCTTTTCTGACTGAGGACCATGGCCTCAGATTTGGAGGTGCTGATGCTCATCCCAGCCGCTTCACACTCGGCTGTGAACCGCTCCAGTGAGAGCTGAAGATCACGGCACGATGACGCCAACAGGACCACATCATCTGTGATGCGATAAAAATGTCTAAAGAACTGTAAAGGAAATGTTCACTTTGCTACATAAATCTCAGATCTTGTGAAGTTGTGTTCTGTGGAAAAACAATAAGAACAAATAATATCTTACCTGTTGTAAATAGCTCCTTAAACAACCTCTGTTTGCAGCAGGGGTGTGCAGTCCTGGTCCTTGAGGGCCTCTGTCCTGCATGTTTTACATGTTTCCCTGCTCCATCACACCTGACTCAATGGTTCAATTCAATTCAGCTTATTTATATAGCACCAAATCACAACAAAGTTGTCTCAGGGTCTTTACAGGAACATTCACATACATAAAAGCCAATTAGTAAAGTTCTCTATCTAAGGAATCAGCAGACACGTTGAGTCTTGGTTTCGTTGCAGTCTCCCATCCTGAGCAAGCACAGTGGCAACAGTGGAAAGGAAAAACTCCCTTTTAAAAGGAAGAAACCTCCAGCAGAACCAGGCTCAGGACAAGCGGCCATCTGCTTTGACCGGCTGGTTTGAGAGGACAGGAAGGAGAGACAGATGAACACAGAATGGAAGGTCCAGGTATAGGTCCAAGTGTCCCTGAAAAGCAAAAAAAAAAAAAAAACACGTTAAGGATAGAAAAAGTAATTACAAATGTTGAACAGAGTAAGTAGACAGTAGTAGAGCATGGTTCAATCAACTCTTCATGTTCTGCAGAAGATAAGGTCCTGTAACGTTATGACAGTGTTCCTTAGGGGGAAATCAACAACCTTACAGCTTAAAAATACTATTTTTAAAATACTTTTTCCACAATAAACCAGTCAATCAGTAGAGCTATCTCAGCCTGAAATAAGTATATATATTTTTAATATTTTAACACTTTAAGGACCTTTTAAAGCTCCACATTCCAGTTTTTGCTTTAAAAAAAAAAACTGACAAATTATTTATTTGATGGCAATTTTTGAATCATCTAGTCCAGAGGCTCTGTAGGTGGAGATCCTTCAGAAACCTGGAGGTGCTCGAAGAACGATGGAGGAGCCATAAGGAGCTCTGCTCTCTTCAGAAGTACCAGCGCAGGCCTTGGCTGGGATCAGCTCTGGATCTTCAAAAGGTCCATCTATCCAAATCCTGGATGTTTCTACAAGAGTTCAGTCAGACGATGCAGGGATTGTCTCATGGTGAGCAGGGTTGGACTGGGTGGTATCACCAGACCTTAGACAAATGCTATTTTTTAAGCTTTTATCCAGCGGTCAGTTTTTTGTCAGCAATTAGCTAGTTGTTGCTGCTGATATTTAATGTTGCACAAAACTCTAAAACTATGCAAATATTGGTGCCATGTGAAAAGAAGCTGTTTTCAAATGGTGCCAATCCACTTTGATCTTGGACTCATTTGGACTTGTCATTAACTTGTTGGTCAGAAAAAAAAATATTCTTTCAAGCTGAGGTCTGTCCAAAAGCTGTCCTCTCTTGCAAACATCACATGACCCCGCTTCTGAAGGTCACATCTGATTTTTTTAAGTCTCAGCAGATCAAGTGAATAGAAATCTGCATCATTCAGTTTTTCACAGGTCAAAGTTCACTAGTATTGGCTGTTCCCTTCTTCAGGGGTTGCCACAGTGAGCAAACTCACATGAAAGATTTGGCAATTGTTTTGTGCCGGATGCCCTTCCTGAAGCAACCGGGGCTCGAACCTGTAACTTCAGAATTACAATGGCACTGACCTCCAAGCTACTGCAGCCTCCGGTCAAAGTCCACTCTGCTTGACATAATTGTTCAAGCTGTGCTGACTCATATAACAGAACTGAGTGACGCCTGACAGGCTTAAAGGTGAAGTGAACGTCCACTCTGCTCCTGCCTCCTGTTCCATCTGAGCTTTTCAAGCTCCGTCTTCTTTTATCTTTTTTTCTGGAAGAATGAACTCTACACAGAAAGGCTGGATTAGGCAGCATTAGAGGTACTTGAGGGTTTAAAATAGTTTGGTGCGTGATATTCTCCATGAGGTGCATGATCTTTATCTAAACCTATGTTTATATCTATAAATAATCATCCTAAAACTTGGAATAGTCTAAAGCTTGTTCTTCAGTTAATAGATTACATCAAAGTGCAAAACGACTCAAGGTAAAGGTGCTGACTGACCCTCCCTTGGGTCAAAATGACCCACGAGGCCAAAAACTGAGGCTTTGTAGGTCATTTTGACCCAAAGGCAGCAGGAGGGTTAAACCCACTGCTTTGCCATCCATCCATCCATCCATCCATCCATCCATCCATCCATCATCTTTACCCACCTTCCTTTTGGGTCATGGGGGTCACTGGTGCCCATGTCCAGCAGACACTGTGGGGGACACCCTGGACAGGTTTCCAGTCCATCACAGGGACACATAGAGACAAACATCCATGCACTCTCTCACACCTAGAGACAATGTAGAGTTACCAGTCAACCTAACATGCATATTTTTCGTCTGTGGGAGGAAACCGGAGTACCCGGAGAAAACCCACACATGCACAGAGAGAACATGCAAACCCCACTCAGCCAGGATTTGAACCGGCGACCAGTTCGCTGAGAGGAAACAGCTCTACCAACTGAGCCACCGTGCTGCCCTCATTGCTTCACCAAGTAAAATCAGTAAATCAGTAAAGCTCCTCGGATGAGGAGCGAAACGTCTTCTGTTACAAATAAAGTCAAGTTGTTTTTTGAATTCACCAAGTAATTTAAAATGAGTCTGCAGTATCGCCCTCTGCTGGACACTTAGTTACACTACAACAGTTTAGCTGCTACCTGGAGAATATCAAAACTAAAAAAATAAAAAAATATAATAATAAAAAAAGGGCAAATATAAATACTTTTAGCCAAATAAATGTTTAATTATTCTGACCATGATACAAAATGTTTTAAAGCTCTGTAATGCTGACAGTGTAAGAGTCCACAGTGCTTTTACTGTGAAAGGCCTACTGTAATGGCACTTTAATTAGAAGTGATTAATATTGTGGCGCTAACACACCTGGAATGGGTTGAAGTAGGTCGATAAATTCAGGCGCATGAATTCCACATAATCAAAGAAAATAATTAATTACACTTTTGGGTCAGAGCAGACACAAACAGACATTTTACTGAATTCAACTTTTTAAGTTCATGTTATTTTAGGTTGCTGTGTATCAGATATTTTAAAGTGGGATTTCTGTAGAAAAGTTATGAACAATTAATATCATTCCTGTTATAGTTAGATCTTTGAACAATTTCAATTAGAAGAAAATAAGATTTATTCTGACATGACTGTCAAGCTAACAGCTAATCTGCGTGAGGCCAAAGCGAATGGTTTCCATCGTAAATCAACTCCATTCTCAAAAAAAAAAAAAAAAAAGCTGTAGTTCAGACAAACTATTTCATATTTCTTTACATTGTTGATAGATTTAGATTATTTGGTTATTCTAGCAGAAACAGGAAATTCCTGTGAGAAAAGCTAATACAGTGCTACAGCTAGTTAGCTGCTGCTAAGTACATTTACAATCATAAAACATTTGTAAATAACAATCCAATGCAAACATTTCAGCAATGTAAAGGGCTGGCATTTAGATTTTTTTTTAAATAGGAGCCATTTTAAGCCGCAAACAATCCACTTTGGTTTTTAGCTCTGCTCAGAATTGTTCTCTAATCTGGGTTGAATACAACTAATTCTCCAAAATGAGGTCATGAAAACAAAGCTAGTTAACATAAGTAAGATATAAATAGTTTACAATCTTTCTACAGAACCCCAGTTCAAATGCTCTGAGCCATTTTAAATCAATCACAGCCTGGGGGCCACTATCCTGCATGCTTTACCTGGTTCCTGCTCCACCACACCTCATTCGATGATTAAATCACCTCGTCTAGTTCTGTATAAACCTGTTAATCACCCATTGATTCAAGTCAGGTGTGTTGGAAAAGGAGAACGTCTAAAACATGCAGGATAGTGGCCCTCGAGGACCAGGACACCCCCTGACCTACATTATCATCAGTTGTCTTATAAACCTTCTCTAAAGAGAACTCAGTCGCTTGAATATTCACAGATTCACGTTATATTTCACATTTTGTTTGTGTGAAATGTCTAGATCCAGTGTCTGATTCCAAAGAGACTAGAGTTCAGTACAAAATAATGTACAACAGCAGCAGCAGGTCCCTTTTTAAGGCAAATCCAGCATGCCGTTTTCCTCCATGGCTCTCTGTGTCCTGTCATAAACCTCCCCGATGATCACAACCACTCTGTTCAACAGCACGCTCAGCTCCTCCTGGTTCTGCACGCACAGCAGCTTGAAGAAAAACCCCCTCTCCGGCATGGCGATGAAGGCCAGTTCTGCAGCCCTGCGGACGAGCCAGGTGTGGTGCTGGGCCAGCGTGCTTTGGTAGGCCTCTCGGCACAGCTCTGAGGGGCTCCTGAGGCGGCCGGCCCGCGGTGACTCCGCCAGCTTCTGCAGGAAGAGCTTCAGCCACAGCAGCGCTCGATGCAGCCGCAGGAGAGTCCGGCAGCCGGAGTCCGTCTGGTGGTGGAAGTCAACCACGGCTCGATCCAACTCTGACCTGATCATCGAGCGCACGGAGCGGTAGTCATCTGAGTGCTGTGGGGCCTTCAGAGGCTTCTTCTCTCCGGTTTGTGAGTTTATTATGTTCACGTTTGGGCCGAACTCTGCTTCAGGGCCCTCCTCAGACTGCAGGGCCAGCTGGCGGATCACTGTGGTCTTACTTTCTATTTCTGTGGATATCAGACTCACCATTGGGCCCAGAGAATCCATGAACCTGGAGTATTAACACAGAAACGCACGGGTCATCGTGCAGAACCATTCGTGACATAAGTTACTATGAATGCACGGTCTTACTTCACGAGCTCATCCCAGCTGGACAGATACGGCTGCAGCAGCACGTCCGAGGTGTGAACTGGAGCAGCCAGCAGGTGGGAGACCAGCACCGACGCCTGGAAGTTCTGGCCAGAGCAAATGGAGAGGACAGGGGGGTTCTTAACCACATCAGGCCCACTGCTGTTGGACAGATGGAGGACCTATAAATGGATAAATGTGTGTAAATGTAGGGGACAAAGGAGGAAAAGAATCTGATGTGGTTTCTTCTTTCACTGCACATCTGCTCCACTAAAGCAACATCGCAACGTGCAATGGTTTCTATACGAGCTGCTTGTGCACTTACTCTGTTAACCTGATTGTAACCTTTCAAGCAAGAATCCCAGTGGTAATCCAAACCTCCGTCTGCAGTGAAACGGCGTCAAAGGAACAAAAGCAAGGAATATAATTAGTAAAAGTATCGATTACGTCATTACATTTTCATTTAATGCCCTGTTCGTTTTTAAAGGTGGAGATTTACCATGAAAAATGTACCCAAATCTAGAAGGCATCACGTTATTAATTCTCTATCTTCTGTTTCATTTGAAAGCTTAAATGTTAAATTAAAAATGGAAACATCTTTCAGAAGAGAATCAAGACTACCATAAAAAAAAATCCTGAATTTAGATTTCTTTTTCCTCAAACTTCTGACTTTAATCTGTGAATTCTCAGAAGAGAAAAAAGTAAAAACTCAAGAATTTATTTTTTCTTTTACACCGTGGCCCTAATCCTTGTCTGCAAAAATCTATAATTTCCTGGATGAACTCCAAAGATTTAACAGTTTAGTGATATGATTGGACAGAGGATCATCAAGCAAAACCCAAAAGTCTGAGGAGTCCATCCTGACTGAGACGTTTATGCAAAAGACGATGCTGGAAATAAAATGGTGACGGTGAATTTTAAAACGTGATTCTGTTGAAACCAAAGACTGGTGTCAGAATGACCTCTAAAAGCAAAAGTCACAAATTTATGGTTAAAAAAAAATCTCACAGAATGTTAAAAGAATAAACCGCAAATCTTTATTTCCATTTCAGAACAATTCACAAACAGAAAGCATAATACATTCTCAAAAAAACAAAACAATATTTAACTTGAATCTTTTAGTTTTCGCAGCTCTGTCAACTCACCAGACATACTGGTTTTACATAAATGCTCCTATTTTGGTTCAACTTTGCCTTAGTTACACAAAAGTACCTTGTTTTCATTATTAGCATACACATCTGTTTTCCCTGTATGTCTTCTCTTGTTAACAGAAACTGATTAGGAAAAGGCGGATCTTTTTTTTTAAATTCCTGATTTGAATAAAAAAAAAATTAAACCTAAAGCTTGACAGGTTTTAGGATAAAGTCCCCATATTCACACCAATATTTCTATTAGGAATATTTGTAAAGAAAGTTCACTGTGTAAAATTCAAACTCCTGGCCCGTGCACAAAAATAGACTCTCTTACAGTGAGTTCTTGCCTCTCTTTAAGATTTATTTGACGTTCTTTATCATTTCTGTTAGAACAGTTGCAGTGATGGCTGTATTTTCTCACACCCTCGGCCAGCAGCTCCTCAGCGGACGAGAGCAGCGTTTGCAGCCACTTTACATAAACAAACATGTAAACAAAGCTCTGACCAGCACCTAAACGGTAAGAAAGTACTTGTGGGGGCAAAGCGCAGAACAGGTCAGCGGTGGGTGCGAGTAGACAAATGTGCCATTTTTGTCACGCACCCACATCAGCGAGACACGGCTTTGGTACTTCTCATGGACTATAATCCAGCCTTAAGTTGGAGCCCCACTGTGGGTCCTCAGTGTACAGATCAGAGACCTACGATATCAATACGTGCAACATCTGCTTTCAATACCCTAATGACACCTTAGCTCGCAGAAGCTTCTACTTTTCATGGAAAACAAGCTCTCAATAATTTCTCTGTGATGTTTGAAGAGGTCAAGTGAATTCAACCCAAAGACTGGTCTCAGGTCAGTTTCAGCCAGGTTCTATGACCTGCTGACTCCAAATCTGTTGACTTTGTGTCTGATAACATCTGTTCCGAGAACTGAAGCGTTCAAATCAAACCTAGATGATTGCAGAATATTCTCTTGGGATGGCTCTTCAACTGGGGGATGTGGTCTGGATGAGGACCCAAATGAAATCTTATCAGGACTCTGATTTTTTTTTTTGTAATTTTAGTTGAATCAAAAAAAAAAAACTTTATATTTTGGAATTACACAATCATGTTTCCTTTAAGTTGTGGTAACTCATTTTAGGTAATGTGATGAAAACCAGTGAGGCTGTTGCCAAAAATAAAAAAATAAAATAAAATAATAATAATTTGCATGTTTGTATTATGGACTTTTCTAGAGGAAATTTTATTTAGGTGCACCTTCAATGAATTTCAACGACACAATTCTGCTTTTTTGTGCTTTTTCCGGTCTCTTTTTGTTTTGTTTTTCCCTAGAAGATACTTTTAACATTTTAGTATACATTTAACTCACATAGAAAAACTGTGAAATCCCTTAAAATATGTCAGAAATGTATTTCTAACCTGCCACAGAATGTAACAAACCTTTAATTATAAGAGAGCCTATAAAAAAAAAAGTTTTGCTACTATGGACTAACATCTTAATCTTCCTAACAGGGTTATTATTTAAAAGCAGAGGTGGAATGTGAAAAAGGGGATCAGCTCTTGATCGAGAACAAGAGATCACATGATCACAGTTTCAGCATTTTTGGACCTTTGTTACAAAAAGATTCATACAAAAGTAGTCTTTTATTTTTAAGAGCTACATGTGAGAAAACTGTTTTATGTCTCACGGAAGACTTTTAGATGAAGCAAAAGCGTTTACCTTTGTGAAATTGAACCTTTTAATTATTCAACACAGTAATTCAACACTTTAAACCCCCTTCCCACACACACACACACACACACACACATACTCACAGAGCCACAGTGAGCCGAGGGACAGCAGCAGGACCAAGATAGCAGCAGCAGCCTTTCTCTTCACACCCATACTGAAGTCCAGTTTGGGGCTGCCGGTCTGCCTCTGATCCTTTTTCTGTCGTTTATCCTGGAATTCCTCAGGGCTTCACATGAGTGCTCGTCTCCTTTTGCACTGGCTGTCACCACAATCACTTTCTGCCAGACTCCTGCCTCTGACCCTCCCCGCCTCCTCAAATCTGTCATTCTCCTCCCCAAAACCTGAAATAAAACCGTCCGCCTGCCATTGCACCTCAGGGGGGAAAAAAGGATGAACTCTTCTTGTTTCTGTGTGTTTCTTTAGAGCTGCTTCTTCAGTTTGTGTCCGTGCACTCTTTGTCTCTCACTGATGTTGGAGTTGCCCGTCGCTCCTGATGCGTTGCTCAATCTGAGAGTCCAGAGATCAGCTGAGGGCGGCTGATAAGGCAGAGCCAGCTCAGCTTGTTCAGCAGTAACCTCCCTGCTCCTGATTCATTCTCTGCATGTATGTGCATGATATTCCTGGTCAGTCTGGGTGGGCAGCGAGCCCTCTCTTCTCCTCCCACACCCACCTCCACTCCACTCATTCACATAAAGAGGGCCACAACGGCACCCCCTGCCTGCTACATTACAGCTGGCATTTCTCACACAGCGTTGCTTTAATAAACAGAAGCAAATAAAGACTTACTGTCACTTTTAGAGCAATGAATTGAGTTCAAGATAAATGAATTGAGTTGTTTTCGTCAAACCTTGAAATTAGCATCATGTGCAAGATGATGCAGTACTGCTCCAGGAATGACTCTCAGCTACTACCACTTTGAATTTTACCTCAGTCTTTGGTAAATTTTCCAATCTATAGCTATTTTAATCTACTGTTGATTAAGTGTGGCAGCCTTCTAGAAGTGGCTTGACCCAAAGGTTAATGAGTTGAGGATGTCTAATGGTTATGTCTGATGCAGCTGGTGGTTCATGAGATATTTTGCTAAAACACAAACATGGTTGACTTTTACAGTTTTAAAGTTTTGAGCAAAGATCTTGTGCGATAACCAGCACTTGAACTACGTGTTGTTACTGATTGTCAGATAATTTTTTAGCTTGATATCAGTAAGACTGATTGAATTATTAACATTTTTGCGGGGTTTTTTTTAGGTCACTTGGTTGTGGCGGCCATCTTGGATTGGGTAGACTTCATAGGTTAATTAGTTTTAGATGTAGATCAGATTCTGCAAGTTTTTTTTTTCATTTATTTCTCGTAGAAGATTATTTTGCTAACAGACAGATACATGCACACACAGAGACACAGACGATTACATTATCGTTTGCCTTTTCCTTTTGGTAACTAGTGATAACTAATTTATGTCTTAACTAGACCTTTGTATTGATCAATTTGGCCACCAAAGTCTCCCTTAAGTGCAGAACTATTCAACTAAACTGCTCAGGGGGGCACAGTTACTGAAAGCCAGGAGCTCAGGGTACGAACATCCAGCAGTTATTCTTATGAAGTAAGTTTGTTTTACAATTTAAAATGTAGTTTTATTGAAAACTGAAGCCATTTTGATCAAACTGTGCACACCCATGGGCCTGATTTGGCCCCCGGACCATCAGTTGGATAGCCCTGCTTTAGTGGGTATTTAGATAAATATCAATTAATTTCAGAGGGGGAAAATGAATCTCTACCAAATTACAACTTTTTTTTGTAAATGTTTTATATAAAGCACCCTTCATACTAAAAGCAGCTCAAGGTGCTGTACAGAATTATGAACAACAAACCCACAAGATAAAAGCAAACAATACACACACAATAAACAAAAAAACATACATTTGTATGGAAAATGTATAGACCGAGCAGAGATGATCCAGTTCAGGAAATGCAGTTAAAAAGATGGTCTTGAGCCTGCTCTTCAAAACAACAACATTCTCTGCAGCCCTCAGGTTCTCCAGTAGACTAGTCCACAGACGGGGGCCAGAGTACTGGAAAGAAGCCTCTGACTATTGGAACTGTTAGTAGTCCAGTGCCAGAGGACCTTAGGGTCCACGGGGTCCATAAGGTAATAACAGCTCTGCAAGATAAGATGGTGCAAGACCAGTGAGAGATTTAAAAACCACTAAAAGATTCTTAAAATCAATCCTGAGGCGCACAGGGAGCCAATGCGATGCTTTTAAAACAGGTGTAATGTGAACCAGCCTTCTGGTCTTGGTTAGCACACAAGCAGCAGAGTTTTGGCAATTTTTCCTTAGGGAGACCAGAAAGCCGTGCATTAGTCTAAATGGCTAGAAAAAAAAAGCATGCATCAAAGTCTCAGTATTGGTGAAAGAGAGAAGAGGGCGGACTCTGGCTATATTTTTTAGCTGGTAAAATCCTGTTTTAACTGTATGTTTGACATGTGGAATAAAAAAAAAGCTCAGAGTCAAAAAGAACCCCCAGGCTTCTTACTTTTTTGGAAGGTTTTAAAGACAGTTTGTAATTTCTGAATTGTATTTTCTTTCTGAACCTCCAGTCCAATGATTAAAACTTCTGTTTTGTCCTGGTGTAGCTGGAGAAAGTTCTGTGCCATCCAGGTCTTTATGCTTGAAATGCAATTAAAGAGTGTAGTGATTGGCCGGTGGTCATCATGAGATAATGATATGTATAGCTGTGTGTCATCAGCATAACTGTGGAAACTTATCCCATGGCTCCTGATGACTCCACCAAACAGCAACATGTACAAATTAAAAAGTAGGGGCCCTAAAATAGAGCCTTGGGGGATGCCATAGTTAGCTTTATGGATCTGCGAGGAGCATGTATCCATACTTACCATAAAGGTTTTATCTGCGAGATAGGAGCTGAACCACAGAAGAACAGTACCAGATAGACCGACCAGGTATTGTAATCTATTTAAAGAATCTGATGATCTGTTGTGTCAAAGGCTGCACTCAGATCCAATAGCACAAGAACTGAGAGCTTGTGTGTTAAAATTGAAGCATACTAAAAATAAGTTTAATGACTAAGTGTACAGTAAGTGTACTGTTTAGTTGAGTTTTTTTATTTCATTTCTTCTTTTTGCTGTTCATTTTATATGCTTTTTTAAATATGACTGTCTATTGTTGTCTGTACCTCATCCGTGTTGGTCTCTCTAGTAAATGAGTCCTCGTGGCTCAGTGAGACTAACCTGTATAAATAAAGGTTGAATGAAATCACAATCCATTAAATTATGTCATTTTACCACGTAAGTCTAAGGTCTAAAGCTCATCAGTAAACTGATTAATGTGACTCATGAAGGGCTGTTCACTTGATTATCACCCCTGATGGCGATAAACCCAGAGATCAGGTCTGTTTGTGGGGCGAGGTTTGCAGACTTTGACCTCCACTCAGGCTAAAACCATGTTTACTCATAATGAGGGACTTAACAATGGTATTCTTCTGCAGAGGAGTGGGGAAAAAAGTGAAAGCAGGGCTATTCATTACATGGTTGGGGGGGGTTTGCCCACGAGGCTTTTGTTCTCTGCAGCCAATGAGCGATCCATCTGGGAGAGGCAGCAGTTGAGAGGAGGCTGAGGCAAAGTCTGACACTCAATCAGTGACTGCAGACATTTTGAAGCCCAAAATGCTCTGTTTACACCATCAGACACCTTTACACTTGATTTTTCATCACGCAACATAAGAAAAGGCACAGAAATGGAGAACCCAAACAAACCACATGATCAGGGTGAAAAAGAGTTGTAACGTACAAACTTAAACTGAACAAAAGTTTCCAGGCAGATGTTGATGGCTGATGTGCAACTCCATTTAGCACCTAGTTTTAGGTGTTTTTCTTATTTCGTTACATTAAAACTTGTAAAGCATTTGTATTTTCTAAATAAAACCATTGGTCTTCACATTTAATTCAGCAAGGTCTGCCTAAAGATTTCTCCTTTAATGGCTGGTTTTCTTCTCCCAACATAATGTCTTTCAGGCATCTACAGTACCTCTTCCTGTGCTGGTAGTAAAACACAGGGAAACAGAAATACTGTTCCATGAATGCAGCAAAAAATTGTGCAACTTAAAATAAATTAAAGATCTATCTATCTATCTATCTATCTATCTATCTATCTATCTATCTATCTATCTATCTATCTATCTATCTATCTATCTATCTATCTATCTATCTGTCTGTCTGTCTGTCTGTCTGTCTGTCTGTCTGTCTGTCTGTCTATCTGTCTGTCTGTCTGTCTGTCTGTCTGTCTGTCTATCTATCTATCTATCTATCTATATATCTATCTATCTATCTATCTATCTATCTATCTATCTATCTATCTATCTATATCTGTCTGTCTGTCTGTCTGTCTGTCTGTCTGTCTATCTATCTATCTATCTATCTATCTATCTATCTATCTATCTATCTATCTATCTATCTATCTATCTATCTATCTATCT